GATGGCGGACCTGGTGCCAGGTATAAACCAATGTTTGATCAAATTACCTCTAAAGTACAGGAAAGTACCATATACTATGTTTCTGACTATATTTACTGTGCTTTTATCACTTCCTCCCAGCACTGCCAAGATGAGTATTGTATGAGGGTGAATCAGAACAATGGGCCTATTGTGAACTAGACTTTGATCAGTCTGCCTATATGTTAAGCCCCATCACACCGACACCCAGTGTTAAATTTGAATTTCATTTGTTTTACAACGCACCACAATCTCCTGTGAATAAAACCCTTTGAGTGAAATAAGGGAAGAGAGCCTAGAAAGAATGAGAAAAAATATCAATCAATAAGTGTCTGTGTTTTAATGGCATAAAATCAGATAACGCACATTTTAGTAAGCCAACAATGTTGAAATGAAAGACAAATTATGATCCTGAGGAATTTGGCGTCACAGCAAAGGCAGAGCAGACAATGGGTTTACATTCTCTTAAGAACACAATATCCCCATCTCCATGCCAACATTGTCTGACACGAAGGTTACATATACAACCGAGGATTGAATTTGGACATTTATATTCCCACCCGATGCCAACATGTGACATGACACAATAAATCATATGGAAACTGACGGTTCCAAAATACGAGTTTTGTATTTCAAATGGATATTAAGCAACTCATAAAAAACGTTAATTTATTTGACCATCAACTGAAGAAAATATTCATAAATTCAACTTAAAATATCAAAAAGTTTAAAGGAACATACCAAGTACCATAACCACTACATCACACTATTGTTATCGTGTTTGGAGTGTTCCTTTAATATGATAAAAAATAAATCGAATTTCTACTCATTTATAAGGAGACTGGCTTTATATTTTATTTTTAGATTTGTATAAGAGTAATATGCTTGGCTCCTTTCGACCCAGCCACTCCGTCAGGCAGTGTGTGTTTGCAAGGCAACTGGAGCTATCTTGTGTAGTGGGTAATTGGGGATGTAGTTTGTGAATGCAGAAAATTGGAGGTGAAGTGTATGTGAGCTGTGAGGGGTGATAAGAGCTGTAGTGTGGAGGAATACGCTCTGCAGTTGGGGGGGAGGGATGGGGTGGGGAATGTTCCTTTAAAGAAAATGTCACATACAGACAATCAGATATACACTCAAGGAAACATTCAAAAACACTCACTAATGCACCCATACAGACACACCGTGACACAGACACGTACACAGCCACACACATACAGGCTCACAGATATGCACTCACTCATGTGTACACAAACTGAGAAACAGACACACACAGACACACAGACACACACACCCAAATACATCCGCAGTAATGCATTCAGAAACAAACACTCACATTCACAGATACAATACAACCTTTGCTCTTGTCCTCCTACTCCATGTATCTCTCAACTACCCCTGTTCAGCATACCTGGATGTATCACTTCCTGTATGCTGCTTCAAAAGGCTCTGTGTGTGAGAAAGCAGGGGATGAAATGTCACTTCCCATCCACAACCCTTTTCCTTACACACAGAGCTACTGGGCCCCAACATGTGTATGGGTTGTATGCCCCTAATGGAGGGGTCTCTATATGCTCTCCATTTAAATGCAAAAATAAAATGTGATCTAAAAAGTGTACTGTAGCTTATTTAAGGATGTAGCCATTTAAAGTCAAAACTGCGTCCATGTAGAAAAAGGTGTTTTCTGCATAGTGAAATCTAATATGTCATATTTTAGGGAGGAAAGGGGTTAAATAATGTATATATAATCTGCAGCCTGTGTTAAAGGCTTGGCTTAGCTCTGTAACAGCTTCTAGAGTGATGTGATCTGTGTTTATCCTAGCAGATTCTATTTGTAACAGCATTAGGACATGTGTGAGATTGGGGAAAGGTAAGTTGTTTTTTTTTTTTGCTTTTATATTCTAACAGCTTTTATAGTCCCATCTATCAAAATATCCAACAATTTGGTAGAAAATAACTTAAAAGAGAGAGTTGGAAGGTACATTAAGAAAAATTGTGCTTTATCAAAAATGTTGCACCAATCAATACCTGCCAAGAGAGCGGCTAATGTAGCAAACAGAGTCATTGAGTTTTATAACCCTTACACTTTGCCTTGGTAACAACGATTGAAGGAACATCAGAATTCCTTTGTAGTTGAAATGGACTATGACCCTATCAGAGTAGAAAATGGTTTTATTGTTTTACTTTATATTCTGACTATTTTTCACCCAACTACAAATCAGCAACTACAAATGGTAAGATATATTTAACCTGATGCAATTCTTGCTTTTTTGCCAACCCATTTATATATCACCTTATTTACACCAAATAGTCGTACTTCAGCCCTTTTTAATTTTTTTCTTTCTATTCTATAGTACCCACGAGCTGATTTAACATTATTAGAATGGAAAATCAAAGGACGGGCAAAGCAGTTAGGCAGTTGAAATAGGACATTCATTAGTAATATATTATTGTGCATAGTAAATTAAGTACTATAAAGGGTCTCTTGTGTTTTCTCTGAATGAATAAACCTATAAAATACCTACAACATGAACTTTACATGTTCAATTGAGTTTAGTCAAATAAAAAATGTGTTTGTTTTACCAAGTCTATCCAGAAACTGATATTATGTTAGTTGCTGTCGATTTTTAATCTAGCTCTGTTGCTGCAAATAACTTTGTTTAATTGGCATCCTGGTGCTTTATACTAACCTACTGTTAATTTATTTGTTTAAACTAAAATTAAATGAAATAAAATACCCCAAGCCACCGCTTTTAATTTTACATTGAGTCAGATACCGCAGAAATGAATGAGTGCATAGAGGTGTGGTATGTTTGTTTTTGATAAGAACAAATTAAATTCAGTGTGAGTCACATTTGTTTGTTTTGTCAGTGTATCTGCAGCTGAACACATCTGGTAATGCATATTTTAAGAGAGAATGGATTTCGGATTGGTTTCCATGTCATGCTTTTAAAGCACACTATGCACATGGTAACATTGGCAAGAATCATATTAAATGTAAGAGCCAAGTCATATCTGCCATATGAACTAACGCCAGTGCTGCACACAGTGTGTGTTTGCATTAAAAAGCCTGCAGAGACAGGCTATAGACACCAGAACCGCTACATTAAGCTGCAGTGGTTCTGGGGACTATAGTGTCCCTTTAATGTGAGGTAAATTAGAGATTAGTGTCACTAATAATATAGTAGATTACCTACTTACAACCAGATGAGGATGGTGATAGGCTCTAGTTGCAGTTTGGCTCCACTGGTCTGGTGTAAAACAGGATCTCTGGAGGCTGTTTGTAACTGTGGTCACAAAAATCAATGTTCTGGGGGAACGTGAAGCAGCTCCATTTTTTGGGGCCCCTTACACAGCTCAAGGTCTGGGACCCCAGGGCGTGACGGTGAGTATGCCCATAAGGCCCACCCATAAGTCCACCTACGAGTTCCACCCATGAGTTCGCTCACAGGGAGTGGAGTGTGTAGGGGATGTGTCACATGTTAGTGTAGAGGATCTAAAGTGTGCGCTTATGGAATGTAGTGTATAGGGATACCAGTTTGTGTAGGTGATGCAGTGTGTTTTTGTGTAAGGGATAGAACGCAGTGTGTATTTGTGTGTAAAGGATGTATTGTGTGTTTCTGGTTGTGTTTAAGGGATACATTGTGCAAATCTGTGTTTGTATGTGTAAGGGATGCAAGGTGTGTGTCTGTATATGTAAGGGGTGCATTGAGTGTGTGTGTAAGAGATGCATTGTGTTTCTGTGTGTGTAAGAGAAGCAGTGTGTGTGTGTGTGTAAGGGATGCATTGTGTGTTTTTGTGTATGTGTGCAAGGGATGCATTGTCTTTGTGTGTAATGGATGCATTGTATGTTTCTCTGTGTGTAAGGGAAGCATGGTGTGTTTCTGTGTGTGTAGGGATACATTGTGTGTTTCTGTGTATGTATAGGGAATCCTTGTGTGTGTAGTGTGCAAGTGAGAGTTCTTGGGGTAGGATAGGGGCTGAGTCCTGCCAGCCCCTTTGTGCTTCTCTTTCCCTCCTTTCTCAGCCTCTCTCCTCTCTTGTCCCTTACTGCTCTCCCCCACTGTCCCTTAGTGATCCTCCCTGTCCCTTAGTGATCTCCCTGCCCCCTTTCTCCTAGTGCTCTCTCTTACCCTCCCCCCGTCAATTGGTGCTCCCCCCATCCCTTAGTGCTCTCTCCTCCCTCCCTCCCCCATAGAGCTTTCCACTGCCCCTTAGTCGTCTCTCCTCTCCTCCCCTGTCCCTTAGTGGACTCTCCTCTCCCCATCCCATTAGTGGTATCTCTTCCTTCCCCTGCCCCCTCAGTGGTCTCTACTCTCCTCCCCTGCCTCCCTTAGTGTACTCTCCTCTTCCCACTTTCCATTAGTGATCTCTAATCTCCCCCACCCACATAGTGGTCTTTGCTCTCCTCTGCCCCAGTGGTCTCTCCTCCCCTTTTCCACTAGTCGTCTCTCCTCTCCCCTTTCCATTAGTGGTTTCTTTCCACCTCCCCTTTCCATTAGTGATCCCTCCTCTTCCCCCCCGTCCCCTAGTGGTTTCTCCTCTCCCCCCTCGTTGTCTCCTCCTGCTCCTCCCCCACCCTTGTGGTCTCTCCTCACCCCCCTATCCTCCCTATGGTGGTCTCTCCTCTCCCCTCCCATCCTTAGTGGTCTCTCCTCCACCCGCCTCCCCTTTTCACAGTGGTCTCTCCCCCACCCTCCCCCACTCCCCTACCTTCCTCAGTGGTCTCTCTTCCCATTCTCCTCATCCCCCTGTAACCGTGGCTGGTTCCCTTATTTACCACTATAATGTCTTAAAGCATAGAACTTAGTAGGGCTAACCATACAGATATCTTAGCCATAATTTTATATAGTGTAAGAGATCCTCTATTTAACATATATAAAAAATTGAGAATACAATATAAAATAAGGATTGTCTTGGAAGCAATAGTTTTGTCTTTTTGGATATTTATTATATAAAAATATAAATATAAAATCCATTATAGCAGAGTTTAAAAGATTAAATTAAATGCTTGCAAATATCATTAATAGGTTAACATACCCTTCTGAACATGTCATCATGTCAGCCTCTCTGTCATTTTAAGATGGAGCAGCGTCTGTCTCCAAGTCTCTCCTCTGTGTCTTAACATTTAAAAGTACACCTATTTATACCTTAGGTGTCTCCATTTTAGGTTACTGTAGTTCAAATATGAAAAAGTAACACTTCTTTTACTTTATTCAATTTAGGACCTCCCTTAATTTGGCAAACATACAAGGCCATAACTAAAGGGTGCAAACGTCATGGAAATTTTCCTGACTTAGTTCAAGATGGCATCTTAAAGTCTGAATAGGTTATCTGTTGTTTATACTAAGTCGTAAGTGTACAGTCGTGGGAGATTCCCGGATTTGGGGAAGTTTCATTAACTTGGGGTTACCACAGTATATTGTGTACTGAAAGAGTCGTAGTATAGCCTTGAAGCTTGTTTATGCATTATTGTTATTGTAATTGGTCTGGGACAAAATGGCGCAAACCTATTATGCACTGAGGTTATTGCTTAAAGAAACAGTTATGAAAAACAATATGTTCCACTTCTAACACCTTGTCAGTTTGCAATAGCTCTTAAAGACTAGTGATGTCGCTGCCTTCAACATGGATGCTGTCCAGGAGGTGGAAGGGTCTGGGAGGGAGGGTCTGCTGGAGATTGTGTCAGCTGACCGGAGTTCGCCGCGAACGGTTCGAGGCAAACCGTGGCGAGCCGTTCGCAGGAAGTTCGCAAACGGTTCGCGACATCACTATTAAAGACAAAGTACACAGTTTAAAAAATACAACATTAATTCTAAAACTTGTAATATTTGTATTTGCCCATAACACCCCCTCTCCTACCCTGTGTAGCGTGGCCGAGCTTTGGACCGGTCCATGGTACAGGAGTTTCTGTTTCCTGTACCCGGTCGTACTGACAGGGTACAGGACACCGGCCCTGGCACTAAACTGTTAAGTGTTCCTTTAGCAATAGTGTTCCTTTAAGCTAAAGTTGTTTTGGTGCATATAGTGTCGCTTTATCTTAGAGTTTCTCATCTCCTGCTCTGTTAATTGACTAGTTAGCCTGCAGAAGCCTTCGTTCTGTGATTAAAGTTCAATTAACACAATCACATCTTCCGCTCACTGGCATGCAATCAACCCTACATCCCACCGCAGTGACGGCAGTAGAGAGGGTCCTGGTGCAAGAATTTCTTGTGCTTCTTATCGCAAGAGTGGCCAAAAGGTAGATCCCCATCTGTTGTGCAGCTCCAACAATGCTTTGACAGCTGGGGCTCTACATTTTCTCATGCTTGCAGAGTTGTATTAAGCACTAAGCAGTGTTTGTGTGTTTGATTGTAAGCATGTTTTTGTATGGTGTATGTTAGTGTGAATGTAGGAGTATGTTTGTATGTGTTGTTGATCTTTGAATGCAAGACTGTGTTTATATATAATTTTGATGTTTAATAATTTTGATGTGTTTTGGTATGTATTGTTGACCTTTCAATGAATGAGTGTGCTTGTATAAAGTGTTCATGTTTGAATGCAGGGGTGTATTTGTGCGTTGTGTTAGTGTATGAATGCTGATATGTATGCACATATACACATACACTGCCACACAAACACACATGCAGATACACACACTCTAAAAACCATGCAGACACACACTGACACACATGCAGATACACAGATACACACACAGACAAACACACACAGATACACAAACTGACAACATACAGATACACAAATGCTGACAGACATACTGACACATACACAGAGACATACTGACACACAAACACACTGACAGACATACTGACTCAAACTAGCAGGCATTCTGACAGACACACTGACTCATACTGACACAGACACACTGTCAGACATACTGACAGACACACTGACACACACGCGCACACACACAGACATACTGACACACACATTGACAGACATGCTGAAACACACTGAGAGACATATTGATACACACACTGACAGACACACATTGACAAATACACTGACAGGCATACTGACACACACTGACAGACACATATACTGACCCACACACTGACAGACATACTGACACACACACAATGACAGGCATACTGACACACACTGACAGACATACTGACGCAGACACACATACACTGACAGACAGACATACTGATGCACACATACTGACACACACATACACACATACATATACATATTCACACACACACACAAAGACATACTGATACACATACACACACTGACAGACAGACATACTGATGCACACATACTGACACACACATACACACAAAGACATACTGACACACACACACAGACATACTGAAACAAACAAACAAAGGCATGCTAACACACACATATGCTATACACTTAACCACCCTCCAGCTTCTTACCTTTTTCTGGAGGGTGGTTTCCCTGGGTTTCAGTGGCAGACTGAGGCAGTTGGGAGCTAGGCTATGGCACAATCGGCCTGGCCCCCTCCTCACTACCTTTCTCCCTCCGCGCAGCTTTAATATATCTGTGGGTGGAAGTGACGTGCGGTTGTCACTTCCTCCCAGGCTGCCCAGTCAGCTGTCAAACAGAAAGGGGCCCGGTCATGCTGTTTAATGCCACAGCACCCGACTGGACCCTGCTGACCCGTGCCCACCGGGTGGCCCTTAGTGCATGATCAAGAGAAATGGGATTTATCTGAGCTAAACTGAAAGTCCTAAAACAAAAGGTCTGAATACTTACATCAATGTGATAATTACATTTTTTGTTTTAATAAATTTGCTAATTTTCCTAAAATCTGTTTTTTGCTTTGTCATTATGGTATACTGTCTGCAGATTAATGTAAAAAAATAGGCTGCAATATAAAGAAAGGGTAAAAAAAGAGTCTGAATACGTTGTGAATGCACCTTGTTATCATTACATCAGTTTGATATTTTGTCTCTCATTTTCTTTAAAATATTATTTTTAAACTAGAACCTAGTTATTAAAAAAAAAAAGTTATGTTTAATCGTGTGGTTTATTTGAAAAATAAAATAAAAATAAATTTGTGTAAATGTAAATAAAAAATATTTGCAAGCACACTATAACAGAATGTTTTATTGCCAATTTTTCAAACTTTAACTTTTAACTTATAATAAATTTTCACTAATGTGAATGAATGACTTATGAGAGCTGTTTCTTATTTGAATGAACAATCAATAATTTCTTCAAACACACCATCCACAGTCATTTACTATATGCACATGTAGTTGTCAGCTAGTAAACTTTTAAAAACGTTGTAATTTACAATAAAACATTTGTCATATAATGGTAAACAGGTTTACTAGGGATACCAGGAATGTAATAGCATTTAAGTGCTTACAAGTTATGATTAATGATATACAGAATGAACATTAATTAAATTCATTGATATGTAAGTAATGGTAATTGATGGCATACAGGCAGGGTAAGATAAATAATGATGTTTAAAGGAACATTCTAGGCACATAAAAAAAGGTTTGCAGCTTTCTCCAGTATAACTGTATTCATTTAGCCATGTACCTCTTTTCACAAAGCACTTTTAGATGTATTTTAAGTACACAGCTCAGCAGTGGCGGTACTACCGTCGGTGCAGCCAGTGTGGCTGTACTGGGGCGCGAATGCTGGGTCACCCGATGGTTTTCAGTAAACAGGTGCCCAATTAGGTGCTGCGGCCCTCTAAGAGCACGACAGGGCCCCTGTGATATTTGCCAACTGGGAGAAAGAGACAACACTTCCTCCCAGCTTCAAACAGAGGAATATGCGGGAGGGAGGAGGCAGCAGTGGGCAGTGAGCTGCTGCAGACCCACATCAGCATCAGCCAGCAGTAACCCCAAAAAGTCACCCCTTTTGCAGATAAAATGTATCAGGAAGGTGGCTGCAAATATATATAAATATATATGTATATATATATATATATATATATATATGATATTTGTGTTTATATGTTAGTGTATATATGTGTATGCCAGCGCGTGTATGTGTGTGTGTATCTGTTTGTGTGAGCTAGTGTGTATCAGTGTGTATACCTGTGTGTGTATTCCAGTGTGTTTATATCTGTGTCAAAATGTGTATCTGTGTGTGTGCCAGGGTTTGTATATCTGTGTGTATATGTATGTGAGTATCTGTGTGTATGTTCCAGTAGGTGTATATCTGTGTTTGTACATCTGTGTGTTTAGGTATGGATCACTGTGTGTATCTGAGTGTGTATATATGCCAGAGTGTGGATCTGTGTGTCAGAGTGTGTATGTGCCAGTGTGTGTGTATATGTGTCAGTGTGTGTACCTGTCTGTCATGGTGTGTGTATATTTCAAAGTGTATGCTTGTTTACAGGTGTATGTATCTTTGTGTCTATGTGTGTGTTTAAATGTGTGTATCTGTATGTTAATGTGTATGTATATCTATGTACTTATGTATGTGCATCATCCCAGCAATCAAACACCAACACAACATGCAAACTCCAAAATATTATACAAGCACACCCCTTCACTCAAACACCAACACCACACACAATTAAAAACAAAACACTACATCCACATATCCCTGCATGCAAATGCAATCATTATATACAAACACAGCCCCTGTATTGAAACACTAAAGTGATATACAAGCACCAAATCTACACACAAAAGCACACCTACATTTAAAAGCTAACATTACATACAAACACACCCTTGGAATCAAACGCAAACGCTACACACAAGTACATGACTGCATTCCAATGGCACTAGTACATACAAATACACCCCTATATTCACACACATACTCTATACAGAAAAACACTTACATTCAAATGCACAAACGCTTCTCACAAATACAACCCTGCAAGGATTGGCCAACGGTAGATCCCCAGTTGGCAAAGCACAGTGAGAGTTGTATGACAGATGGGGATCTATCTTTTCGCCAATCTTGCGCTAGAGAGTGACCCAAACCTTTTTCTTGCACTTCATTAGTTTCGCCACTGCAGCTCAGCCAATGAAAGATCAGTGTGTTGCTGATCTGCTAACTTGACTCCTCCCACATGGCTTAATTGTATCCCTTATTTGTTTATACTGAGGTAATTATTTTTTGTAATTATTAGTTCATATTCCAAAGTAAAAAATATTATTCACGGATAAAATGTATTATGAAACGTTTTTGATTTACATTTGTATGTTTCAATACAGCGATGTTTCCTACTTGTGTTGCGATTTTGAAATTGCAGTCAAAAACTTGAAACTTGGATGAAATTAGATTTTAGTTCAGTCCAGGAAGTACTGAAAACAAAATCAACAGTTGATTTTTCTTATTAACGGAGTAAGTAGAGATAAACACAATTCATTTTTTAAATGGAGTCAACACAGTAAAGGAGGAGACGATATTTAAAAGAAGAAAAACTACCACAACAAGAGGACATGGTCTTAAATTAGAGGGTCAAAGGTTTAAAAATACCAGGAAGTATTACTTTTTTGAGAGGGTAGTGGATGCATGGAATAACCTTCCAGCTGAAGTGGTAGAGGTTAACACAGTAAAGGAGTTTAAGCTTGCGTGGGATAGGCATAAGGCTATCCTAACTATAAGATAAGACTAGGGACTAATGAAAGTATTTAGAAAATTGGGCAGACTAGATGGGCCGAATGGTTCTTATCTGCCGTCGCATTCTATGTTTCTATGTTTATTTTATTTAATCTATTTTTGTTATTTTGTGATCCTGGTGATGACTAAAATCTTGCTAATCACCTTATCCTTCCAATATGTTAATGAATTGTATTCAAAGCAATTTAATAACCCTCACAGAGTAAACCTTCAATAAAGCTCCAGGGGATGACAAGTCATCAAATTCCAAATATAATTAATATTTCTTTGGATGTTTAGAAGTTCTAAGTCTGCAGCCACCCATCCCACAAGGCCTTCATTCCTTAAAAAACATTGTCTCATTGGTCTTCATGTTTCAGACCAAAGCCACATACTCAAGAAGTGCACTGTCCTTATCCTGTTCTTCCGATAAACTGTCTGATGACTTGTTTGTCACTTGGACCCTTTTTGATATGTCCCTTCCTTGTGTGTTTATCTCCATCTCACCACTGCTTCATGATCCTTTCAGCCATGTCCATCTTCCGTCCTATACCTCTATCTCCCCTTCTAAGTCGATGTTCCTCTTGGAGACTGTACATGTTGCATGTTGAGCCATCACACCTTACTTGTATTTTCTAGTATCCCTACTTCACTCTACCTCACTCTATCCCCAAACTCAGTCTTCACTAGTCACTCTGATTCACTAAAAACCATTTGTTAGTCTTTGTTCTTTGTTAAAGGGACACTCCAGACCCCTAAAGAACTTTAGCTTGCTGACGTGCTTTATGTGTGAAGAGTGTGTCTTTTATCATTTTGCAAAGTGCAGATTTCAGTACTACACAACACATTTATAAATTAAACTGGTTGCATCCTCCTGGCTTTCAAAAAGACAACAGGTCCTGTTACTTCCCGATTTGTTTAGCTCAGAGGCAGTAATTTCTCAGAGCACCCGTCTTGCAAAGACTTCTCATTGAGATGCAATGGGAAGTCTGTGATTGGACAGCCACAGAAAGTCTGGGTGGGGTTAGAAGGGGAGGGACTTGTAAAGGCTTCAGTCAAAAGGATCTAAAGCTTTTGCAAGCCGTTTTCAGATATACCCCAATGAAAAAATTCATAAATTAAATGCATGTACGTTTTCATTGGGGGTATATCTAATAAACAGTGATTTCTATTATTTATATATTTTTGCTTTAGAGCCGTAGAGAGGCCCTCTAACATAATTCCATTATTTGTGTAGTGAAGTTTTTTTTTAATTTAAATATAATATTTTCATAAAACAAACTATGGATTTTGGGATCAAGGTTAACATCACCTCACTACTACTTGTTCTCATTCATGTTTAGGTGTATGCTTTCTTTACTGTGTGATCTATTTTTATTTTTGACTTTTAGATCTACATATAAACATTGTAACTTTATTATACTTATATCAGTGCAGTTATGTCCTGTTTAACGTGTATACTGTTAGTAGTTCTGATTTAATCTTATAAGTGAACACACTGTATCCTTGACGTGCTTTTCACATTATTAATTATACCTGCCTCTCCTAAAATTTACATATAAAACAAAAAGTATCCAAGTTTGTCTATATCAGGCTTCCCCAAACTCCGGACCTCCAGATGTTGCTGAACTAAAACTCCCATGATCCCCAGCCTATCTATTTCATTCATAGAATCATGGGAGTTGTAGTTTAGCAACATCTGAACGGCCGGAGTTTGAGGAAGCCTGGTCTATATGTTGTGTGTGTGTGAGATGTGCAAAACTGCTTGCTGTAAATCTCTCTTCTGTGGGTCATACCACTCCCTATTGTTGATTTTTCATAGATTTTTGAGGAGTTATACCCAGGTGGTGGTAGAAGCGAGTTGTTATTCTAAGACCAGACCAATTATACTTGAAGTTTTTGCTAAATACAAATAAGAGCACTTATTGTGATGCAATGCAGCACTACTTATAATTTATTAGAAAAAAAGTAAAAATGATTTGTACAAAATGAATATATATGTTCATCCATATACTTAATAACAAAGCAGTCAAAAATTATTAAAGACTTTAATCCTTCGGAAACAAACAATAGAAACCTTAATTCATAGCAACTGGAAACTTGTATTATGACTGGTTGCGTCCGTTGAAATATGGAGATGTTCTGTAGGTCTGCTGGCTGCAAGGTGTTTATCTTTGGCAAACAGTTGGAAAAAGCACCTCTTCTCCTTATTTCTTCCCTATTTGGCAGTATAAAGTCATTGAAAAACCAAGGCCAAAAAGCTGTAGAAAGAACAAAATAGATATTTATGATATAAAATATATATAGGTTGAGTGACACAAAGTATATGTATGTATACACCCGTATTTACTCAAATCTAAAACGCCATCGAATCTAAAGTGCACCTCAATTTTTGAAACCTGGAAGCTGAAAAATGTTTTTGCTGGCGAATGTAATACAAGAAGATACTACTATACAACATTGTGCTACAATGAAAATATTTATTGCCATATACCAGAGACCAGAGTAACATTAAAGGTAATTCGATTTTAGTGTTACATGTTAAAGGACCACTATAGTGTTTCCCTGGCACGATAGTGCCCTGAGGGTGCCCCCACCCTCATGGCCCCCCTCTTGTTGGAATGAAGGGGGAGGAAAGGGGTTAAACACTCACCTTTCTCCAGCGCCAGGCTCCCTCGGCGCTGGGGAATCTCCTCCCTCTTCTGACGTTCCCGGCTGAATGCGCATGCGCGGCTAGAGCCACGCCCACTTTCAGCCAGTCCATAGGAAAGCATTCTCAATGCTTTCTTATAGCCGGCAGCGTCTTCTCACTGTGAAAATCACAGTGAGAAGTGCGGAAGAGCCTCTAGCGGCTGTCAATGAAACAGCCTCTAGAGGCTGGATTAACCCATAGGTAAACATAGCAGTTTCTCTGCAATTGCTATGTTTACAGCAGGCAGGGTCAATCCTAGATGGACCTGGCACCCAGACCACTTTATTGAGCTGAAGTGGTCTGGGTGCCTATAGTGGTCCTTTAAGCCTATTCTTTCTTTAAGCTCTCTTTCAGGAACACAATTTGCCTGTGTGAATTCTCCTGTTTTAATCCACCAGTTTTAATTCGCCTGTGTGAATTCACCTGGAAAATTTCTAACTTTGCCCTCAATGTAATGCGCTATCGAATATAATACGCATTGAAATTTTGGAAACTTTATTTTCCAAAAAAGATGCACATTAGATTCAAGTAAATATAGTATATTTATATAAAAAAGTTGCAGCACACTCACTCACACTAAACACAAATTTATATAATTTGATTAATCCATAAAACATTTGATTTGAATAAAGTAAAACAATTATTTAAGGATATACATTTCAGATTTATTATCTTAGTCAGTCATAATGGGGAAAAAATATCCAAATCCAGGAGGGGAATGCACACGTTTAAGAGTACAGTCACCTAAGGTGCCTCCGCACCAGGCTGCCGAGACATAAAAACAAAACTTAATTAAGTTAATTAAAAAAGGTGTCTGGGCACTCAGAGAGCGGATAGTGAGCAATATTTATTGATCCAAAGCAATGTTTCGGCTCTCTGCTGGAGCCTTTGTCGAGCTTGAATGCACCACAACTTGCCATTCAGTTAATAAATCCCTAAGATCATACTAGACATCAGGTTTTAATGTCAGTGTTGGAAAGGAAGAGTTGATTAATAATACAATACCTCCACTGCAGCCAATCCAAAAGCTATCCCAATAATGATTACAAGGTGGTTCTTGAAGTAGTCAGTGAACACTTCTGAACAGGGCTGCGTGTAAAACAATAGAGAAAACATCAGTGGAACGTATTTATTCTTAAGGAAGAAATAAATAAAATAATTATTTGCAAATGTTAACTCTATCTCACGTCCTCCCTAAATTACAGCACATATTATAGCACTTAGAGACATATTCAATGTTAACAGAACTTGACAGAATGCATAATGTTTGAAATTGTTTTTGATGGTGACTTGGCAGGGTATGTTTGCAACGTGGATGGTTTCCAAAATGGTTCCCCACTGCCAAGTCCCACAGCCATGCAAACAAATAAGGTTAGGCGGGTTGTAATGTAAAAATAATCTGGTAGGAAACAGATGAGAAAACATTCTGTTGTTCATTTTAAGGTAAAGTTGAGCAATTAAAGGGATACTATAGTCTCCCAGACCACTTCATCTCAACAGAGACCAACTGATTGGTGCAGAGCAGTGTTTGTCATGCATGCACCATAGTCACCAAATTGTTTCCTGTTGGGAAAGCATTGGATTGGCTGAGATCATCAGGGTGGCAGCACAGTGAGTAGCAATGTAAATTTTACTCCCTACTGGTGGCGACCAGGAGCCTAAATGGCTACAAGAGCACTATTGTGTTAGGAATGCACATTTGTTTTCTTAAAGGGACCCTATAGTTACCAAAAGAACTTTAGCTTAATTAAACAGTTTTGGTGTATAGATCATGCCTCTGCAGTCACAATGCTCAATTATCTGCCATGTAGGAGTTACATCACTTTGTTTATTAACCCTCATCACATCTCCCTGCATGTGACTTGCACAACCTTCCTAAACACCTCCTGTAAAGAGTCATCTAATGTTTATCCTTCCTTTATTGCAAGTTCTATTTAATTTAGATTTTCTTATCCCCCACTATATTAATAGCTTGCTAGACCCTGCAAGAGTCTCTTGTATATGATTAAAGTTCAATTTACAGAGCAAGAGATAAAATTGTTTAAGGTAAATTACATCTGAAAGTGAAACCATTTTTTTTTCATGCAGGCTGTGTCAATCAGAGCCAGGGGAGATGTGGCAAGGGCTGCATAAACAGAAACAAAGTGATTTAACTCCTAAACGGCAGTGAATTGAGCAGTAAAACCTGAGAGGCGTGATCTATACACTAAAACTACTTAATTAAGCCAAAGTTGTCTAGGTGACTATAGTGTTCCTTTAATGCTATTGTGTTATTTTTTTTAAATTACTTTTCTAATAATAGTATAACTGTTAAATTAATACTATATATAAATTAAATTGGAGTGTTCCTTAATCTGTTTATAATTTCACTGCACTTCCTCCCTCCATTTACTCAACCATTGGGAAAGTCTCCTCGCTGCAGCCGATCTACCTACAGTTATCATTTACTGATAAAATGCTTTTTTAATCAGATGCTTCTCAGAGAGAAGCATTGGGTTATACAGCACACGAGCAACAATTGCAGTCATCACTCTGCAATGCTTCTCTGTATGAAGCACAAACTTTCCCTTTGAACTGTTACCTTTTCTTGAAATACACTTTTATAAAGCAGGCCATGAGATACATGCAGGTAAAGCCCACGTCATTTCACAAAGATGATGTGCTCCCCGAGATAAGCCTGCTCTTGTTAGCATGCAACAATATAAAATACACAAATTATTACCTGTTTGTAAACTGATCTTCCTTGAACAAGGATGCATTCACTGATATCATTTGCACCACTGCATGTGCAGGATACTGGAATACTATTTCCCCAGTCTAAATAACCATTAACAAGACCGCAGCATTTACTCTACAAGGAAAAAAAAAATCAATATGTATTGACAATCACGTTTATTTGTTGAGAGTTACTGCATTTTTACATTTAGAAATTTTATATATTTTTTTAATTTGACAATTTACATTTTTCACATAAAACAATAACAGTGAAGATACATCAATAAGCATCGTACCAGAACATATGCATCAGGGAAACTGGACTAGAGAAGACAGTGTATACAACATGCAAAGACTTATTTCCTTTCTGTTACATTACATACTTTGATAAATCTCACTGTATCCTTCCTGGTAAAATATTTTATAAATAAATACTGGTCCCACTAGCCAATTTTACACACGTAAACTGACTTTCCTTCTCTGAAGAAAGCTGCAAATTGTGTAATAGTTTTTTTTGTTTCATAAGTGGTATCTTCCATTAGGTACATAACCAGGTCCAAAACGACCATAGATAAATAGAAATCAAATAGAAAAAAAAATAAGAGAAATTGAAGCTAAGCAAAAACGTAGCCAACTTAAAAAAATATATTTGCCCAGTTCATTCCTTGTCACATCCTTAGTTCTACACCCGCTGGACAACCTTTCAGGAATTTCTATAGTGAGCATCTAATGCAATGATGGGTATGTTATCAGTGGAGTGTTTGTTTTTTCTTCCCTCTTCATTCACTCTAACCCTTGGAACCGCGACATTCTGACCATTTCTGCAGACATGTTTATAGCCTCTGTCCTTGAGGCTGATTCCGCAAAACTTCTCGTACAGTTTGTTATGGGAAGTGACAGATAATTATTTCTCCAAGGAAGGAGGTTTGTCTGATTTCCACTTCAAAGCTATGACTGACCATGCTGCTAGAAGTATGAGCGTTGTCACCACCCTAGCACTCCAAGCAGTTTTCCATATAATATAGCAGAGGTGACTATCTAATTAGGCAATTTAGATCGTCTTAGGGAAGAGTAACTTGATGGTCTTCGGACTAAGACCAAAGACCCGACACAGTCAGAGGCCCGGCAGCTTGCCCTTTATGCCGACAGGAGTGGGGGCCCCTCCAAGCAGTATGCCCTGACTGAG